GTGTGTTATACATAGGCGATAGATGACACAGGCCTTGTTCGACAAACAGTGTGTTATACATAGGTGATAGATGACACAGGCCTTGTTGGGCAGTGTGTTATACATAGGTGATAGATGACACAGGCCTTGTTGGGCAAACAGTGTGTTATACATAGGTGATAGATGACACAGGCCTTGTTGGGCAAACAGTGTGTTATACATAGGTGATAGATGACACAGGCCTTGTTGGGCAAACAGTGTGTTATACATAGGTGATAGAAGACACAGGCCTTGTTGGGCAGTGTGTTATACATAGGTGATAGATGTCACAGGCCTTGTTGGGCAGTGTCTTATACATAGGTGATAGATGACACAGGGCTTGTTGGGCAGTGTGTTATACATAGGTGATAGATGACACAGGCGTGAATCTGAAGGAATCGGCCCTTTTGTGTGTGTTTGGTAAAGCTCAGTGCATTTTCCTGGAATTGTTTTATTAAGCATTTCTTCGGGATGGCATCAAAGTATTCAAAGAAACGAAACTGCCTGTCATTTGAAACCGACCTACTTTTGATTGAGAAAGTGGCATAGATTATACATTACTTGCTCGGTGCCTGTATCTACACAAAAACTTCCTGTTTGCTGTACCGAACACTCGGATTCAACGAGATTGAAGGTCAGGCCCGACGACATTGTTGAATGTGAGTTCCGCTGTGCACATTGGGCTGCCTGAGTGGGTGGGAAAGATCTGTATAGCAGACGTGGATGTGTGTTTATGTCCTTGTGTGTGTGGAACCTTTTTATTCTACGTATAGATAGATGTATGCAATACATGCCTATGGTCTAGAGGACAAAATCTGTCCCTTTTGTAATGGGGCCGTAGATGTATACAAGGGCAGCCAACCATTCCACATTTGTCGTAATCACTACGATTGTTTAGCCTCACTACGAAATTCCGATCGTAAGACGATTTTTTTGCTATTTTTATCGTCAGCAGATTTTTTACAATAAAAAATATTTTTGCCTCTTTTTAAAAATTTACAAGTCTTAGTGCAGACGTGTAAATCATCCGCCAATAGTCGCAAAAACCGCCAATCTCCAAATCACCCCGCACTCCTGAAAAAAGGAACAGCTGGCCCACTGTACTCGAGTAGTTAGCCTTGACCACAATAATTTGGGATAAGCCCTATTTTTCGGTAATTAAGAAATATTTTTGTTTGTTGTATTGGAATATAGTAATTTGAAAATGAGAGCACTGTTACTCATGTTTATGGGGAATTACGAATTTTCTTCCTGGTCATTACTCAAAACCATGTCTGGTTTGTCCTGTGTGTACATGTCTATGGTTTGTCCTGTGTGTCCAGTGTACATGTCTATGGTTTGTCCTGTGTGTACATGTCTATGGTTTGTCCTGTGTGTACATGTCTATGGTTTGTCCTGTGTGTACATGTCTATGGTTTGT